ATCAGGTAATGGAAACTAACAGATTTGAGGAATCTCAGAGTCACGTGCACAGGATGTATTTTATGGGGCCAAACACATTTAGTAAACCTTGGCTTCTTCCTCATGCTCCTCCTGAACAAATAAAAGAAATTGTGTAAGTTTCATTTATTTTATATATTTTTTTAGCCCTTATTTATTTTGTTGATTGATAATATGCAATAGTTGCTTATATCATGAATCAGTAAACTTCTTGATCTGTTCCCATTTCCCGTTTGGCATCCCAGAGGGGTGGATTTTTTTTTTCTTTTCTATTTGTATCTCGTTATCGATTACACATTGCAGACTTGGGGCAAAAGTCTAAATGACATACTTAAATGGCAGATATGAGGATGCATATAATATGTTTGTCGATGAGATCAATGCTCTTGCTGCATATCAATGGTGGGAAGGATCAGTGCATAGTATTCTTTGTATTCTTGCATATCCTCTTGCATGGTCATGGCAACAATGGAGAAGGAAAGTGAAGTTACAACGGCTTCGAGAATTCGTGAGATCGGAATATGATCATGCTTGCTTACGTTCTTGCCGTTCACGAGCTCTGTACGAAGGACTAAAGGTAATCTTTCTGGGGACTATAATTAGTTGAAACATTTTATACACGCTTGTGTCAAATTTATTGAAGAAGTTCACATATTTGTTGTGGCCAAAGATCATGCGTTGATGTTTCTGTAATTTATAAAATTCCAATATGATTTTTGTCAAAAATGATGAATGTCAGTAGATCAGATTTTCCATGATCTTTATGATATCGTTCAAGTTTTACTTTCTCTTCATCCCTCTTCCTTTTCTTGTTTGGAGGTGGCCAGGTGGAGAATAAGAGTTGTTAAGAACAAAGCTAACAAAGCGGTGGATGAGTTTGTTGTTCACGTTAGATCGTGTCTCATTGTTTCTCTGATGATTTGATGCTTGGGTCTCGGAAAAAATAATATTTGAAGTCTTGCATCTCCACATATTTTATTATACATATTTGTTGCTTTTAAAAATCAGCATTACTTTTGTTGGCTTCTTAGGGCACATTTACCTCACTCTAACCACCTGAAAACTGCTTGTCATATGGTAGTTGCAATATAAACTTATTTATCTGCCTTTTCATTTTGACTCTTCTCAAAATCCTTTTCATAACACTCCGCAAGAATAATGACTCAAACAGAATTCAAAATTTTTCATGCTCATCGTTATTAATATATATGACTGTAGGTGGCGGCAACACCTGATTTAATGCTGGCATATATAGACTTTTTTCTTGGCGGTGATGAAAATAGAAGCAATCTCCCTCCTCCTCTACGTCAAAGATTTCCAATGTCTCTATTGTTCGGAGGTGATGGAAGTTACATGACTCCTTTCTCACTCCATAATGACAAAATCATCACCAACCTCATGAATCAGGTTTGTAACTTGATGCTAAGAGACAGAAGTACAACATTTGGATGAGGAAGAAAGAAAAATTTGGAAAAGCCATTCCTTTTGTGTACTTTGAATAATAAAAATTGTACTAACTTACAGTTCTACTTTCAGTCTATGCCACCTACCACATGGTTTCGCTTTGTGGCTGGTTTGAATGCACAATTACGCTCGGTACATCGTGGTTGCCTTAGAGCAAGGTTCCGCCCTGTCCTTAAATGGCTCGAGACTTTTGCAAATCCCGCTTTAAGGATTTATGATGTGCGGGTGGATCTTGCCTGGTTTCAAGCTATGAATGGTGGTTATTGTCATTATGGACTTTTGGTATATGCTGTCGAAGAAGAAATGGACTCTGCATCTTTAGTAGGTCTCAGTGGAGCTAATGAACAGCATTTGCGGTATGGTTTCTCGATAACATCAATGCAGACATACACATTGATCTGATCTTTTTAGACTATATGAAGTATAAAAACATATATGTTTATCTGATTTTGAAAGCTTTGATCTGGGCTAGAAACAAATTTATCACTTCTTTTTTTCCTTTCCTTTCAAGTTAGATGTTATGTCTTAAATGGAATCCCATATTTTAGGTGCAAGTTTACCAAGTTGCATTACTTATACAGGGAGAGAAGGAAATAGGAATAGTTGAACCAGCTTAATAAGTGAATCAGTTTGGTGGATGTGCACGTTCGTGACCATTCTTTGTTCCATATTTTAGGTGCAAGTTTGATTCCATTTTAGGTGCTACTTTACTAAGTCGCATTACTTATAAAGACAATGAGATAAGGAAATAGAATTTATTTGAACCAGCTTAGATTAGTGAATCAGTTTGGTGGATGTGCGTGTTTGTCACCGTTCTTTGTGCATGCACACTCACCCATGATATTAGTCTTTTTTCTTTTGGCTTTTTAAGTGAACAAATTGTATAGAAATTAAAATATTAAGAAGAAACATATGTTTCTAGGTTTCTGTCCACAATTCTTATCTTTATTCACACCTGTTTATTTGAAGCAGCACCGTTGATATTTTCACGAGAGAAGAGACATATCTGAGCCAAACTTGGAGAAGCACTGATGGTAATTTAAGGCACAAGGCTTACGGCAGCATTGTTGATGTTAACAATTTGAAGATGCTTGAAGAGAAAAGAGATATATTTTTTGCCCTCTCTTTTCTAATTCACAACTCTAAACCTGTTGGCCACCAGGTAATTTCTCCCTTCTCCTCTCTTCCACAGCCGAAAAAAGTAGAGAGAAGTGTTGGAACATTCCTTTCTTGGTTACACGGGTTAGGTAGCCACTGTAGGTACGTGTTTAATATTTTTCTTTCCTAAACATGCTGTCCATCTCGTGCTGCAGGATCTCGTTGGTTTGGTTGTATCTATTCTGCTTCTTGGAGATTTTAGCCTAGTCTTGCTCACATTGCTGCAGCTGTATTCACTTTCCCTGACAGATGTCTTGCTTGTTTTGTCCATTTTGCCACTTGGAATTTTACTTCCCTTCCCTGCTGGAGTCAATGCTTTATTTAGTCATGGACCAAGGCGGTCAGCAGGTCTTGCACGCCTGTATGCTTTGTGGAATGTCACGTCCCTGATAAATATTGTAAGTTAATGTATCATGTTGACAAGTTTAGTTCTAAATGTAGTAAGTACTATTTTAAGTTGTCAATGACACGTGCGTAAGATACTTTTGATGATCATTTTATTTTACTTGTATTTTATTTTCCTTTTTTTTCTCATTTCTTAATAAGAAATTTTTCGTTGAATCATGTCATTCCTTTTAATAACGATGCGCATCCTTTATGTTTTTCTAGGTTCTTTGAGTGAATTATTTGATTGTTCATTTTTAACTTGCAGAAGACTTGAATTTAATTTTAACTGCTTGCTTGGTATTTATTGGCAATATCGCAGGGTGTTGCATTCGTCTGCGGATATGTTCACTATAGTTCACAGTCAAGCAAAAAAATTCCTTACTTCCAGCCATGGAATATGTGAGGCGAATTCTGAGCTTTTCGTAGTAAAATTTGATTTTTTGGCTATTATATACTTTCTCATTGACTTCTTTCGTTTCTGTGGACACAGGGACGAAAGTGAATGGTGGATTTTTCCTTTGGCACTGCTTTTATGTAAATGTATCCAATTGCAGCTCATAAATTGGCATGTAGCAAATTTGGAGATTCAAGATCGTTCGCTGTATAGCAAGGACTTCGACTTGTTTTGGCTGTCCTGATATTTATCGAGCTAGAATAGCCCACACTAACACTTTTTCTCTTGTCGTTTATGTGTTTGTTTATTCCATAGAGTAGAGCAATTGGCAGAAAGGTAAAAAGTAGATGATAAAAAAAGAAAGGTAAAAAGTTAAAAGATATTTGTTGTGTAACTCTGTTTTCTGCAGCTGTAATAATCAATCAAGCATTGTAAATATGAACTGGGTGGGATATTCCCAGCCTTAGGACTTCAGATATATGACCGCGGTCTAGAAATGGACATAATTTAGTAATTTTGTCTCTCAGTTTTCTAGTATTTGTCACAGTTTGATGATAATCTACCTTATGTAAATTTGTCGTGGTAGTGAACATGATTGGACAGACCAATCCGAGTGTACCAAATGTGTTTTTAGCGAGTTTAACCAACATCAAGTACATGGATTAACGACGTCTGACTATTATATAGATTACACGCACTTATTTATGTTATGTTGCAAGTACTTAACGAGGTTTCGATCTTTGTCGATGTTTCAAATAGTTGACTAGAAATTATACGCACTTGCTATGTCGATCTTTTTGTAACAAATGTTTCAAATAATTAGCGTTGCTAGTTTTGCCAAACATAATGTAGATAAAGTCGTTGATTTGAATCAACCCACAAGCGACTTACTTTTTTCGATTTTTGCCGATGTTTCAAATAATTGTCTAGAAATTATAAGCACTTGCTATGTTATGTTGTAACACGTTGCGATAGGATAGATCTTGCAAATGATGAAGTTCAATGTTCATGCTTGCTTACTATGTTAAATGTCATGCATACAAACAGTCATCGATTTCAAATGANTCTTGCAAATGATGAAGTTCAATGTTCATGCTTGCTTACTATGTTAAATGTCATGCATACAAACAGTCATCGATTTCAAATGACAGGCTATTTACTTTGAAGATTTTTGTCAGTATATTGAATGGTTGTCTATAATTGCTTTTCGTAGTATAAATGTGACAATTTTAAAAACAAATTCATAGGTAGAAAGTTAGTGCTTGTTTGATAAGGATTTTGACAATTGATTTTTTGACCGTCAGAGATAAAGTGAGTCATATCTGTGAGTGAAGAATTGAAAAATGACGATTGAAATAATGAAATAACGGTCAAAATATTAATTTTAATTAGTTTAAAATATGTAACAAATAAGCTCTTAATAAATTTCGAAAGCATATATAATACATAGACTGAATATCTCTCCCTAGTTATTAAAATAATATAAGTTTTTTAATGAAAAAATTTGTGGGCCCACTACATACGCTCCGATGCAGATGTGAAATTTGAAAGATCAAATGTGACCGTTGCAGAAATGAAGACAAGAAAAAGTTCTATCTATTCTTTACAATCAAATCATATAAACCTCTCGCTATTCACCCCTCTCTGTCTCTATCTACCGACGCACACATACTAATTGTGTGAGTGTGTGTTTTTTCTCTTTCCAATGGCGATAGCAACGGAGGCTCAACAAGAACAAATGGTAAAAATGAAATGAACATTTCTTTTTGGCAATTGCTTGCAATTATAGTGCCTGTTTTGATAAACTTGATTATTATGAATGAAGAGTTACGGATTTTGTGTTGTTTTTGTTATTTCGTATTTAGATTTTCTCTTGAATGTAGAATATCATTAATGCGATTTTTAGTTTATATATATGGGTTTTTCTTTTTCCATTTTGTCCCAATTTCTTTATAATGTTTTAAAAATTAAAGGTAAATTTTATATAATGCCCTATCTAATTTCATAATTGGAATTAAGTTTTGGGGGATCGGGATATGATGTTAGACGTTGGTTGTTATGGTATAATTTAAATTGGAAACTGAAGACAATCAATTCAAATTGGTGGCAACTTCTCAAGATCCCAATTCCATGATAGGGTTCTGGACGGACATTTTCTTCTGACAAGAATATTGTTTCATAATAGTTTATTTATTTTTCCACGTGTTAGAGAAACAGAAAAAAAAAATACTGAAATTTTGGAGTGAAGTGTACACATTTGGCTTCCTGTTATTGTACTTTGTAGATTCTGACTTTTGGTATTATTTCAATTCCTCTTTTTTATCTACTTAATCACTTTTTTTTTTGTAGAGATCTTCAGAAAGCACAGCAGCAGAGAAGAAGAGGTGGAATCTCAATGACTTCGATATAGGAAAGCCTCTAGGTAGAGGAAAGTTTGGACATGTTTACCTCGCAAGGGAAAAGCGGGTCTGTGTTTTCCACTCATTCGAATTGTGTAAATTTTTTACTCTTCGACATAGTGTTTCTGTGTTTTGAAAAAGAGGTCTGATTTGAAGCTTACAGGACGAGAGCTGATTTAAAGAGAGAGAAGATTTATTGATCTCGATTAAATTTAAAGAAAACAGACTTACATGAATGTTCATATCATGCAAACATACCATCGTTTCGAACCTTGTCTATCAAGTTTTACACCTAAAAACTCCTATGTAGCGCTAACTTTAATTGTGGGTAAAGAAGACATTAAAGCTTAACTTCAATCTCCTTGCCATTCAATGATATGTTTTGTTTTTTTCCTTCAAACAGAGTAATCAGATTGTAGCGCTGAAGGTGTTGTTCAAGAGCCAACTGAAACAGTCCCAGGTTGAGCATCAGCTACGCCGTGAAGTCGAAATACAGAGCCATCTTCGACATCCTAACATACTACGACTCTATGGTTATTTTTATGATCAGGTGTGTTCGAGTTTGTTTGGTTTATATGTTAAGAGGAAAGTTTTACATTGGACTTATCTGTAACAAAATAATTGTAGAAACGAGTTTATTTAATTTTGGAGTATGCTGCCAAGGGAGAACTATATAAGGAGCTGCAAAAATGTAAATATTTTAGCGAAAGACGCGCTTCTACTGTAAGTCCTCTCGCTGTTTCCAGTGCTCTTCCTCCTTAAACTCATCTATGCATCTTTATTTTTTAATATTCTTACGACATTTTTTTGAGCTTATAGGAAGACTGACTAGAAGTCATTATTTGTTTTATGGGATGTGAACAGCATGTTGCATCATTAGCTAGAGCACTCATTTACTGTCATGGAAAGCACGTGATTCATAGAGATATTAAGCCAGAGAACCTTTTGGTTGGAGCACAGGTATTTAGCGGCATTTACTTGTTAGTCGAAATGTTTCTTAGTGAAAGTACTATAGATTTTCTGCTCAATATGTCTCTGTTCTGAATTGTCAGGGTGAGCTCAAAATTGCAGATTTTGGTTGGTCAGTTCACACATTTAACCGCAGGCGAACAATGTGTGGCACACTGGATTATCTTCCACCGGAGATGGGTATGCTTATCTTTCTTATTTGATTTTGATTGTCGAATATTACATTTACGAATTATTCATTCACACGTATCAAATTCGTTACGATAAATAACCATGAATATCCATTTTTTTCTGTGTGGCTATTACTTAATGACGAAAGGTCAAATGTTAAACTTGCAGTTGAAAGTGTGGAGCATGACGCAAATGTGGACATCTGGAGTCTTGGTGTCCTGTGCTACGAGTTTCTATATGGGGTGCCCCCGTTTGAAGCAAAAGAGCACTCAGACACGTATAGAAGGTAAATGTTGCTATCTTTTATTGGGGTTTTCATGGATTAAAGAAACTGAATAATCAAACAAATAACAAACTCAATGTTTACGTGGAAAAACCCCACCATGTAGGAAAAATGTAAGCAGAAATCCGAAAAGTCCACTATCACCAAAAATAGAGAGTAACATTTTTCCAAGATTTATGTCCCAAGTCGAGAGATATATTACATCTAACAATTACTGCTTAGAACTTTCACATGTAATGTTGCTGCTTTCTTTTTATGAACAAATCTTTTTATCCTTCTTCCTTGTGAATAACTCAAGTACTTGTATTAAGGGAATAAATAAATTAAACAACATAGCAATTTTGATCAACCAAATGCCCAGAAATAATGTTTCCAACAAACAGGAGCTTATATTAAAATCAACTTAGAAGTTTCCCTACCTGAGGAGTCATTTTATTGTTGGCCTGTGCTTGACGTCTCACGAACCTATAATTTGGCGCCCCTGTTCATCCAGGGCCCATGTTGCCCTGGACGTGTGGTTTTATCCTTTATTGTTTCTCAACATTCTTTATCAGAATAGATAAAAATCTTCACAATGCATACACACCGACTATATGATGAATGTCGGGTGCATAGGGCAAGATCTTTTCTCGAGCCTAAATGACCACTGTGAGGTGAGGCAACTGGCTTTCTCCCTTTCAATATACTTTGCTTGTGATTACAATAATCTTCTTGTAATACCTCATAATAAAGGATCCTATCTCGGACTTCTAATTTAGAATACTTCTATTTGGTTGTTCCTCCTCCATTTCACCACCTTCACACACTAACCCAAGCTCTGACTTCTGCAGGATTGTCCACGTGGATCTAAAATTCCCTTCAAAACCTTTTGTCTCGTCAGCTGCAAAAGATCTCATTAGCCAGGTAATTATTGTTCATACTTTTCAGTTTAATCAATGAGCTTTGGCTCTACTTCACTTTCTTTATCTTGTCTTCCCCATTTATGATGCACAGATGCTTGTCAAGGACTCTTCACAACGTCTGCCTCTCCACAAGGTTCTTGAGCATCC